TATAAACAGTACTACTGAACTCTTAAAGACTTAAAGTGCTGTGCTCATATTTTTATTTGATTTATCCTTATTTCAAATATGCCATTAAATACTACTGTGTCTATTCATACCCTGAGATCCTAGGGATATAGCCTGATGAACATTAGGAGTACATATGGTCCTTATAGCTTTGCTGTTTGTAGGTTTTCTGTTTGCTTGCTTTGTCTCAGCTTGAAAAGTACTAATGTATAAATGCCCATAGCGATTCAGCTTAATTCAAGTTCAGTGATCATTAATTATTAACGTCTCCTTTTTTTTGCTGGCTTTTTCAGGTGATAAAACCATATTGTAAGTCATCTCTCTTTACGTAGCGAGATGAAACAATATTATGTAAAACTGCAGGTAGTTGTACATCTCTGTCTCTTCTATTGGTCTGTTAGATTTTGACTGTTGCTTGTTCTGTAGGGATAGGGAGCTGCTAATGAAGAACAAAAAAAAAGAAATTTACGGAAATAAACTGTTTAAAGTAAAAATTATAATTTTATCTTGCAAGCTTTTGAATTAAAAGTGCAAGGGACTGACATGGCTCTTGCAGCTTTCTAGAATTACATGCAAGACAAAAGTCCAGTTGTTCTGTCAGCGTGGATTAACTGTCTTCAGCTGTTGTCCCTGCTGTTTGCTTTTTAAATGCGTAAAGATTGTTTTCCTCTTTCTCTAAAACTCCTCAGAAATATAAAGTATTCATGCTTAAGCTTTTGCTAATATTTGTTCCAACAAGAAGTCATAGAGAACACACTGCATTTTTAGTAATTTTAATTTGTTTGCTTTGAGCAGGATGTCATGGTTGCTGGTGGAATGGAGAGCATGTCTAATGTTCCGTACACAATGAGCAGAGGATCAACACCTTACGGAGGAGTAAAGCTGGAAGACCTGATAGTAAAAGATGGGCTTACAGATGCTTACAACCATATCCATATGGTAAATATTCCTGCACAAGACTGAAGTATCAACCATAGACCTGATGCAGCTTTGAAGAGCTTGCTTATAATTATTAGGAAACTGCTTCATCTAGCAAACCTAGAAATGAGCAATAATGTTCACTGAGGAGGAAAAAGTCTTCCATTTCCAGGCTTCCTGTAGTAACTGTAACGGAGGGGCTAGATAGAAGACTAAAACAGAATAGCAAATATTTATCTCTCTCTGATTGAAGTCTACATAGCCTAGAGCAGGGATTTAAAAAAAATAAATCTGCCAGTGATAGACTGCTGTTGCTCTGTCTGTGGGAGAGAGCAATCAAGTTAGCTGGTGCCTCTGAGGGTCCCTACTCTGTACGGTTCAACAGGCTGTCATGTTATTTCCCCTCCCCCAATGTACACATCTCATATCTTCTGTTGGACGGTTTGAGTCAGCTGATATGCTTACTCATCAGCATGTAACTTAAGTTGGACAAGCAACTGCAAACCTAGGATGAGTTTGGAAAACAACTGATATGAAGATAGTAAAGAACAAGCATCAGGGAACAACAGTTTGAAAGGAGAATGGCTACTTTCAGTTTACAAATATTCCTGACCTTTGCCAGTTCACAACTGTAGGGCATTATTGATCGATCACTTCGTGTTCTTGCTGCTGTACAGGAAGACATGTCATGAGGAATAGTCTACTGTGATCCATGTCTATGATACAGACCTCACTGCTTCTGTGTGTGATTTATTCTTTTTGCAGAATAGCACACTCTGCTTGGGCTATTGGTTGAAATCCACTCCCATAGGAATGTAAATAGTGACTTTGCTAGCTCCTGTATGTGTGGGAAAACTCTAGGAGTTGGTTACACAGAATTTTACTAGCTTGGGACAGAACTTCAGAACCTTTTGTCTTCATTAGAGCAGCTGTAGGGTGCTTGGAAAAGCTCTACAGTTTGTGAGAATATACAGGAAGGTCCATCCCATGGCTTTGGGAACTTCCTCTTGTGTATGTTTTGGCAATAGACTAAGCTGCTGGTGCTGTGAAGACCAAATTCTTTCAGTGCGCATAGAAGTGAACTTGCTTGTTTAAAGAACTGGAGGAACGCGGTACTAAAGGGGTTTGTGTTGTCATTGAGTTTTCTACAGAAATAAGAGGTGGAACAAAACCTGTTTAAGAACAAATCTTTCAGGTTGACTAATGAGTATCCTTTTTTAAAAATTTTGTCAACAGGTATTTAGTGTTGGTAATTAATTATGATTGCGTAATTATGATTGGCCTATATATGGAATGATTTGATTGTTTCATTCTACTTATTTCATTCCAGTCATTAGACAAAAAATATATATAGTTTTATTTGTACAGTTTTTAGAGTATCAGATCCCGAAGGCTAAGTAAGCCCTGGATGTTGACCTGTTCTTGTAACCTCTGAAATAGGCCAGCTAGTAATGGAATGAAAACACCGTAAGTTGATGTGAACATACTCTTCTGTGGCTGAACAATGATCTTCAGTCTCTGAAGACATCAGCCCTTCGCGCTTTAAAACTTACTTTTGCATGCAGTGTTTTAACTTAAAAAAAGCCTTATAGTGGCTTTAATAATCTGGATCCAGAAAACATTTGCTAAATCTGAAGTTCATATTCCAAAACCAGAAGTTAATGTTTGATTATGACTGTGTAAATTAGAAGTGGACACCAAATACTAGTGTATTTCAATTCTGGAAATCTGCGGGATGGGTTTTTTCAGTTACATTTCTACTTCACATCTCCAAACATACCAAACCTAACGTGCCTGGTTTTCTCCAAGGGCAACTGTGCTGAGAATACTGCGAAGAAGTTTACTATTTCACGAGAAGAACAAGACACTTACGCCATAGGCTCTTACACCAAGAGCAAAACAGCCTGGGATTCAGGAATATTGAAAAATGAAATCGTTCCTGTCACTATTTCAAAAAAAGGTATTATGCAAAGGTGTGATAAAATGTATCTCATCAAAAGCTGTGATGTTGTCTGTGTTCGGTGCAAATTGTGTTGTTTAAACACGTAGATCTCAGGAACACTAATTTTAGATTAGCTAAGAATTTTCTGTTACACAGACTTTCTGGTGAACAGCAGTCAGTGACTTGCAATCTGGTTTTGTTTTTTAATTTTCTTTAATATTACCTACCATATCTTCTTTCTATTGAATTTAGCTAGTATGGCTTCAGCACGCGTGTGTTTTAATTTCCCTATTAATTACCTTAAAGGTAGGTTCTTTGTCCCTTTCATTCAGCCATCAGGAAGTATAAATGGATTTGTTGTGAATAAATTGGATTAAGGAATAATTTTTTTTCAGTTTTTGTAAGCATGTTTTTTGACACACATTTTAGATGTGTTTACTTTTTTTTACTAAGTTGTTTAAATAAGGCAGCATTTAATCAAAATACTGTGTTAGAATGTCTGAAGAATGGACTGTTCTGTAAAATACTAAACCAAATCTGAATTTCAGGAAAGCCAGATACAGAAGTGAAAGAAGATGAAGAATACAAACGTGTTGATTTCAGTAAAGTTCCAAAGCTGAAAGCTGTTTTCCAAAAAGAAAATGGTAAATATTGTTAAATTAACTGCTTAATTTTCTACCAAGCATACTTTGTTAGAGTGAAGAGTACTGTTCACAAGAGCTTGAATGCTAACAGTAGTCCATTAACTTTTAAATGTCTGCTAAGATAAACATGCTTCACAACAGCATGAACTGGCTTGGATTAAAAGGTGCAAGATCCTTAGACCAGTGAAATCCTCTGTTTCAGACATTTCCCTTAAAAAGACCGAAACAGTTTTAGGTTTGATTTAGCTATTGCCTTGGTCTCCACCAAGTATAAGCTCTGGTTTCAGTGGGAGCTGGAGTGCTGTCACATAGTTAGTTGCCTGTTTCTTCCCCTTCCCTGAACTGACAAATCTTTCTGGCTAAATCAAAGTTGCTGCTCATTCACAGCCCTTTTTGAGCTGGAGTTCTGTGTTAATGCCAGCAATGCAGCTGACGTGGAAGGCATGGTCTAAACTACCACTTGGATAAAGATAAGACAACATGTTGATTGTACTTGTTCGAACTGATTTAAAAAAAAAAGCAAACAACTCCTCATTTTTAGTTAACTCAGTGCAACAGATATCGCCATATTGTTGAGACCTTATGTTTGAGGGCCTAAGGTAAAAAAAATTTAAAAAAAAATTAACAGGATACACATGAGCTATATCAGTCAGTCATGCTTTCCCCTCTGTTGAACCAGTGCTTTACCTTTTCTAGGAACAGTTACAGCTGCTAATGCCAGTACTCTCAATGATGGAGCAGCTGCTTTGGTGCTGATGACTACAGAGGCAGCCAAGAGACTGAACGTCAAACCATTGGCACGGATAGTAGGTAGGATTTTTCTTATCCTTGAGTACAGTCCTGGAAAACACTCCCATAGTATGCTCTCAGACTGGGAGTCCTGGTTGGTTGGTTATCCGATGTTCATGGGACAGGAAATGTGTGCTCTTGGGCATTATGGCTGCATCTTCTCAATACAGTCCCTGAAATTTCAAGTGTTGTGCCAGCAGGCTTTTGATGATAAGCAGAGTTGTCTAAACAGAATAATATTTAAAATATGAAAATATTATTATGTGGCTCACTTAAGGCACTAAAATTTAGATGTATCTATTTCATGGACCATTATATTCAGGATTTTTCTGTCTTGGCTGGATTTGCTGCTTGCATTAATAAAAATCATGTATGGTAAAAAGAAAAGGTCTTTAAACAGCTTTGCAACTTCTACAGCTTTTGCAGATGCTGCTGTTGATCCTATTGACTTCCCAATTGCACCTGCGTATGCTGTTCCCAAGGTAGGAAAAAATCTGAGTGTTTTTTGAAAAACAGCAAACTTCCCTAGCACTGGATTGTTGGTTCATCCCTTGGGGGATCTTCCTCTAATTACCACTGAAATTATAGTTGGGCCATAAATACAAAGAACACGTTTTTCAGAGGATCAATGCTAGAATGCAGATTTTCAGAGTAACGAATTTCTTGCACTTATTTTTAAAGAGAATATTGTTTTACAGTGCTTTCACTGACCTTGGGCTTGTTTACACTTTTAAGGCTTTGCAGCTAGTATGACTAAAAGGCAAAATAAATATAGTTATACAGGTACAGTTCAAAAAGGAACTGAAGACAAGTGTATGGTGCGAGGCAATACTGTATCAGTTAAAATGTCCTTACAGTAGCAGTGGTGTTAGGATAAGTGATGAAAATGTACCCTTGGCATAGAGCACTCTCCTTTTCTCCTGTGAAAACTCAAGTTTCTGCTTCAGTACCTCAGTTTGCTTTTTCTGACAAATTGGTTCCGAAATGTGAACTTGAATCTCTTGTTTGGTGTAGTGTAGGGACTGTGGACGGCTTGAGTCGGTGACTTCAACAGACCTAATTATTTCTATAGTGAGCTTCCTCATTCTTTCATAGTAGTTATTATTTTTATTTCTAGATTCTAAGTGAGACAGGCCTGAAAAAAGAAGATATTGCAATGTGGGAAATCAATGAAGCGTTCAGTGTTGTGGTGCTGGCCAATGTTAAAATGCTGGGTATTGATCCACAAAAAGTAAATATGCATGGAGGTGCTGTCTCTCTCGGACATCCCATAGGGTAAGTAAAATAAGCACCGGGCTTTTGCTCTGCACAGAGGTATTTTCTCAACACACTACTAAAACATTTACCTTTATTCTCAAATTTAATGCAGGTAGGAAGGGCAATAGAAATTTGCTATCAAGTACATAGGACTTAATTCCGGTGTTAAATATTTCAGGGTCCCTCGAAGAGAGCACGATCCCATTTTTCTCTTCACAGTTAGTTATCACCTACTTTGTATAAAGAGCTTGTTTGTTACCATAGCTATATGGATTTATGGAGTATTAGAACCAAATCACTATTAACATGACAGAATAAGCAATAATAATTAAGTAGTTAAGCTAATAAAATTTACAGGTAATCTTATGAAAATAGTGAAGGATATGGTACATAGATTATTATTCTTATATGAGCAAAGTGAAATTCTAGGTCTTGTCAAAACATTGTTGGGAGTGAATTCCAAAGTCTCCAAGCGCCTAGTGTAGCAGTCAGAGATAGTCTGGGGCATGTTGGTGGGTCTCTGTCTGAAGTGCTTTCCTCTGGTTAGCAGAGTCAGATCCCCTGCTGTGTTCCCCAACAGCCGTAACTTCTCATGACTTAAGTATATCCCATTAAGCCTCCCGAAGAATGATCATGCTGCATGGTCCAGCTCTATGGGGAAAAACCCATTTCAAAACCTCTACGTAAATATAGATGTGTAGTAAGCATGTTGTACATCAGGAGCAAGTAGGAGTACTACATGGCTCATAAAAAGCTCTGATCAAGGCAAAATCCCGCAAGACATGCTGACTTCTCCTTTCCAGGATCAACTGCTTCTGATAAGGGAAAATGATTTTTTTTTTTTTTGTCTTAAAAGTTAATTTTGACAGAAAAATCTAATGGCAGAATTTAAGTGTCTGATTTTGCACATTAGGTGGATCAAAGTAGTGTATTGCAGTATTATGAAGTTGCAAGCAAATAAGAAACTGAAATTAATTGTTACTCTCGATTTGGGTTTTGTGGTAATTTGTTACCTTCTTTGAAAGAGCTTTGCGACATGTAGAGATACTTCGTAATAAACAGACTGACTGAGAGGTGATTTCTAGAAGAAACTTCAGATAAACATGGAGTTTTTGTTCGTGTATGTAAGAATCTTTCCGTTAAGTAGGGTAGCAAGAGGAAAATAACCTGTATTGTGTCTAAATGTAGATGAAAGGGTTGGTCTTTTTGTTGGTGGTTTTTTCCCCTCCAGTGAATCAGTACTATCTTCTGCCAACTGTCCTGTGTGTGTCAAATTAAGAATTTCCTTTAAACTAAGCTAATACTTTTTTAAAAAAATTTTATTTAGAATGTCGGGAGCAAGAATTGTTGTTCACATGACCCACGCCTTGAAACAAGGCCAATATGGTCTTGCAGGAATTTGCAATGGAGGAGGAGGTGCTTCCGCGATATTGATAGAGAAGTTGTAGGCCCAAATAGCGCTGGAACCAAAGCCTTAAATGCGCTCTGATCAAAATGATGAGTGGTACCTGTTACATCTTATTTATCAATAAGTGGGTGAATTCCTTAACTGCTATTCTAAAATTTCTTAAAGCATCATTGATTATTGATACAGACAACTGGGCTTGTATTACTTTGACTCAGTGTGAGTTTTTATACAGTACAAATAAACAATGTCAAATGATGATAATGTGTTGAGACCTCAGAATAAACAATGTTTGTTAACTGTGGCTCCCCTGTCACTGATGTATGGTTTTTCAAAGGCCACTGAAAATGTATTCTCTTGGTAACTAGGGCCCCTATGGGAAACTGCTAGTTTCTTACAATTTAGTTGCTTCATTTTCATTTTTAAGTTACTATCTACTAAGTGATTTTTGTGGAAAAAAATAACTTTACTCAAAGGTTGGTTTTCTACTGGTGGGTACCTTGAAGCCAGGTCAAATGTAAAACAGGAGCCCTGCTGTAACACTTGCCTACCCCGGCTTGGGGTGTAGTATCAAAGTAAAGCAGTAGCGAGGGTGGTGTAACTAATATGTTACGATACTAATAGTACTAATATGGCCTCCAAATGCTGCTGCTCCCTTTTTGTTCGTTTAAACTTCTGTGATGTACAGTTTTTGTCAATAGGCTTTTAAATAGAGGCAGATCCAGGACTGAAAGAGCGCAACTGCTGTTAACTGCTTCTTCAGGCGGAGCTGCCCCAGGCCTGGCTGTGCTCTTGAATTCCCTGTGCAGTCTTCAGGAATAGGGGGTTAAGCATTCCTAGGGAAAGTAGGGGGGGACAGGAAAATACTTTCCTGGAATGAGTCCTCTTCAAGACTTCAGTGAGAAGTTTATGCAGTTTCTTCTACAGGCTTTTTACCAGAGGGCAGAAATGGGCTATTTCACCAGCCTCTTCTAAACCTAGAGCCTACTCACCTCATTCTTTTCACAAGGGATAAACATCAAACACTTAAGTTTCTGAGCTGGGATTTAGGACAACTGCTTTCTTATTTTGACATTAGTTTCACCAGGAAGTCGTCTTTACCTCCTGGTTGTCCTTACATTTCCCTCCATAAAGTAGGCGAAATAAATACTTTGACTGGGATGTTGTGGGATCTGTTTCTTCTGGCAAGGAATATACTTGTAGTGATGGAACAAGGGGGTTTAAGTGCTGCATACTAATAAAACTAACCCTCATTCATGCTCTGACCTCTATTCTTCTGAAAATGATTTGCCATATGACAGCAGCTTAGAACTGAAGACTTTTTTTTTTTTTCCTTTGAAAGTATAAGTGTACTTGAAAGAGAAAGACTACGGTGGATAGTGGCTGTCCCATGAAAGAGCTACGCTAGGTCTCAAATAAACAGCAAATCTATTTAAAATAACACATCTTAACTCTCAGAATAATAGTAACTAATAATAGTAATTAAGCATTTTATGCTTAAGACAATTTTTTTTTGCTTAAAAAAATTGTCCCTCTGACAATTGTTGCTATTAGAACTTGGTGTTTAATACTGAATGCTTTGTCTTAAAATGACTGATCAACCTGACTTTTTTATACAGTATTGACACAGCTGCTTAGTGGACTTACAAAATATTAAGCAAGACACACAACTTTTTTTATTAAAACAAAAATATTTATTCAAGCTGTAAATGCTATGCAGTATTTAGTTATTGGATGGGTTTAATATAAACATCTACTGCATAATATTGGTTCCTTAGGAATCCTTGTATACTATCTGAAACATTGCCCTGTTGCTGTACAGATCTCTTACAAGAAAACTTGCATTTTTTTAAGACCTCAACAATTTGAGAACAAAGGAGGAAATACCAGTAGAGAAAATGCTGCAGTAGTGGAGCAAGGCTTAGTGTGGTAATTTTCACCCCTGCTAATTGTTAGTAAAACAAAGGCTGAGCTTCTCCTGTGCCTGTTTTGAAGAGAGTTTGCGTAACAGCTATGACAAATTCTACATTGAACAGAAAGATCAGATGCAAATTTTTTCTATGTCTGGCTAAAAGTGTAAGTGATCCTAGCAAATGCTTTCTCAACACTACAAATGACAGTTAAAAGATTATTTACTTTTGCACTAAAACACATGGAAATTTTTGTCTTGCTCAAGTATTCACACAGGTATGAATACAGGTGTTAGCTAGACAACAAAGTACGTTGTTTGAAAACAGCTTTTGCATTCAAACGAACATCCTATGTAGGAAAACTGTAAAGAGATGAGGCCCATCCAAATTAAAGTTAAGATCTGAATGACTGGTTGGGAAAAGTGTCATTAGATGAGAAATACTGTTGGAGGTTTAGTTACTGGTATTTTTGTTAACTCATTCAAAGCCGCTCAACACGGGTTCAACGGTTATGAGAGAACAGAGTGTTAGTACAAGCCAGTCACAGCTGAAGATCAGGTTCCTTTAGGATTCAACAAGACAATGGGAAGTGGCCAAGTTAGCTGCCTGTGTCCGAGAACAGCGAACTACAAACAGCTCCTTCAAATTCACAACCTTTTCACAAACTGGCTATGTGGTTCAGGTGGGTAAGTAGAGAATGCAGCAGAACACAGACAACGTGGTGTAACAGGAAACATACAACTTTTCTTACATTACATTTATACAAATTTACAATTTTGCAAGTTAAATGGCTCTAAAATTACCCAAGTGCTTTTTCAAAAATAAACATATAGCAACTCAAGGATATCTACACTTAGCAACCTGCTTTAGAAACAGCATGATTTTGCTATAAAGTGAAACTTCAGTGCACTGAAAGTGCAACTCACCCTTTAGAGTTAGCTTCTCTTCCCATGCAAAACCTCAGCATAACAATACCTAGCTTTACATAGTCACAGTTCAACTTTTGTTTTTTCATTCGTCATAATGCAAAGACAACAAGAACTTGTCCACATCCAAAGAATGTGGTAGCTTCTTTTTCTGTAGGAGAAGAAAAGAACAGTTGTGTTAAATATGAAGAACCTGAGGATACTGAAGAGTCTGTAAGCATTCCGTTGTACCTCATCCTTGCATCTACCTTGCAGACATAACTGCACAAAGCTCACCCAGAAATCAGACACTGAAATGTCACATGTACCCCCCCAGGGTACAAGTGGTGTGGCTGTGGGCAGGAGCAGCTGAGCTCAGCTCCAGCAGTAGCCCACCTGGATGTCAGGCAGGCGCAGCCTCACAGCTCCTGTCACATACACAGCACCAATAACTGAGCATTCTTCAGTTAGAATAGTTCAGAGGTATGCTATGATTTTTTATTTTTAGTTATAAAAAAAACCTACGTATGCTGAATGACAAAGTTATACTGCGTCTCCTTTTTGATTATTTACATACATCTCCTTTTCATGTCTCACACCTTTGCTATTTGCCATTCAATCAAATGCCCAAGTCAAACACATGGTGCTGCAGACTAGAGACTGGGAATACACAAAATGTGGATTCCTAATCCTGGTGGTAAACGAGGATGCAAGAATAGCTTGAATTTTAGTGAGGCCTAGTTTGAGTTTGGCCTAATTCTTCTATTCAATCTAGAAACCTAGATTGAAGTTAAAATTTAGAAACTCATTCATGTTCCAAGAGAAATCACTTGATTTTCATAGGTACTCTCTGGGAGTCAGTAGGAGTTACTTGGGTGTATCTGAAGACTATACTCATCTTAAGAAAACTGTTTCTTCAGAGTAGGCTCAAGAAGCAAAGTTAGTAAAACTGACAAACATAAATACGATGTCAGGAATTTGGATTAGCACCTCTGAACCATCCCATTATAAATACATATATAGATGTCTAATATATATTTAGAATTTTAAATGAAAAGTAAATGCCTGTACTTGCCTTTATTTTCTTCTTTTTTGATGGTGTTGGAGAGCTTTGAAGGTCTTTTCTATTTGCAGAACGAGAATTTCTCTCACCCTCATTCAAGTCTTCTAGTTTCCTTTTCTTTACTGTGCTCCGTAAAGATCTAAACTGTTGAGTATTGTCCTTCAGGGGAGCTGCAGTGCTAGTCCTTGCAATAGCCGCCCGTGACAGTATCATCAGCGTGTGAGCAGCCATACTGACGCTATTTTCACTACCTGTTTCACTAGCCGGGCTGCAGGCAGGCAAGTCTGGCGTAGCAGGGGGTACCATTATCCGAGGGGTTGTGCTGTCCTCGTTGAAGCGCCGACAGGTCGGTGTCCGGACACTATCCGTAGTATCATCTGCGTGCCTGTCTCCAACTCCAGATGGCGTGCGGGGTACTGGCAATTCTCCATTTTCAACTGTTTTACTAGTCGGGCTATGCCACTGAATGTCTTGCAACATTTCCACACATTGTTTAGTGAATGGACTTGACAGGCAAAGGCCTTGGTTGGAAACTTTAGCTGGTTCTCGCTTTGGCTCCTTAGAAGACAAAGAAACGGACACGGAAGATTTGCTAGTCCCATTTGACAGTGACCCTTGCTTTTTGTTCAGCTCTTGCACTGAAGCAACTGTCTTCTCATTCCATAGGCTAGCACTTTGCTGGCCATTTGAGAGCTTGGCAGTATCCTGATTCTTCTGTTTTTCATCAGTATCTCTTCGCAATTCGTTTTCTTTATTTGCTGTAGTCTTGTGGAAGGGATCTAGTGGGACCCCTGCAGTTGCCACTTTCCGCTCAGGCTGCGGCTCCTTTGCAGATGTGCTTCTGTTGTTACCAACTTCTGGCTTACACAGAATTCTAGGCAGCGTTTTATCTTTCTCTCTCTTTGCTGACTGTGCTTTAGCAGAGGATGATGCAGAGTCAACAGCAAACAAAGTACTTTCACTCTTAGTAGTCTGAATTTGGGTGTTCCCTCTGGGAGCAGGTAGGACATTATCAAAGCAAAGCACTCTCCTGTGACTTTCACTTTGTCTTGAATTTGAGCTTGTGCTCTCTACCGGCACAACAGGTAAGTTCTCTTCCGCTTTCCTTCCTAGTTCTGCAGTGATAAGCTTGTCTGAGTTTCCAGTCCTGAAAATCAGATTAAAATACTTCAGCAACATACTTGTTCTTACTGCACAAGTTAATTTCAGCTGTCTGAAGTCCCCATCTGCCCCTCAAAACACCTGTATAAAGTTCTCTCCATTCTCTAAAAAGTATTTTATCAACACAAGACCAAGACTAAGGGATAACAACTGCAGAAAGCTCAAAGAAGGCCAAAAAGGATGACAAAAAGGTATGAAACAGAGCCTGTACAAAGAACAGTTAAGTAGACTGGGGCTCTTCAGCCTGGAAAGAGACATGACT